TACGTTGTAAAATAGAAAATATTCTAACTCAATAAAAAGTTTCAAATATTGTATGACCACTGCACTTTTTATATAAAGCACTCATTGATGTAAGAAATGACTTCGCCTTGCGTAAAAAATCTTAAATTATGTCGAATCATACATATAGATTTCGATTTGTGTGAAATGTCAAAAATTCATGTAGAATGTTTCAAAATAAAAAATATTTAATGTACAAAAACTTGGCGCGGCTGCACTTCGTCTTATTTTTAGGTACTATTCCGCGCCTCGATAGTTATCGCGAAATTACATTTTTGTCTTCCGTATATTATTTTCGTGTATAATCAAATTAAATGTAATATAAATTAAAGAAACCTCGACAATCATCATAAAGACGAGAAGTTTTAGGAAAAGATACTTACGACACTTGAAGCACTTGTCTAGTGCCAGATTGTCGAGCGCGTGATGAAACTCGAAGACCGATTGACCCACCAGTTCTTCACTGTCCCAGCCCAGATATTCGGCCAGTCTGAAACGCAAAACCAACCGATATAAGTAACAAAACAGTTTTAATAATAAAAGTTATCACACACACTCTTGTTTTCAAAATATTATATATATGTATATATATTTATTGTGTTACGTGTCGGGAGAAAATTACATTTATGTGTTGTGCGATAAAAATGGCCCAATTTAATCGGACGATAAGATTGATAAAATATTAAATCAATCTTGCGCGTTTAGTATTATGCAAGCTAAATGAATGATCAAAAAGATCGAAGCGAGAAGTCAAGTTTTATCTGTCTTCGAAATAATTTTTTGCGCGAAAAATAAAGGTGTGTCAAATTGCGTGAATTGATAGTTGCCGACGGTCGTGGAAAAGACAATAAAAAATAATGTGCCACGAACTTACTTCTCGTCAGCATATGTGAATTTCATACTGAGACTGTGCTTCGATAAGAAGGTATGGCGTCCCAGAGGTATTTCGATGTTACTCGGATGAGGTATGGGACTACCCACAAGTACTAAAGAAGCACCTGTGTCGTGTTCAATGAAATCATCATCTTTCTCACGTTCTTCGTCATCAACCTCCATAGAGTTTGAGTTCAAGTCGCGAATGTTTGTCAATCTGCCGGTACAGTGAATCACCTACAAACATGCAAAATAAAGGATAGAAAGATATTTAACTATTAAATAAAATAAAATTTAAAGAAAGAATATTTAATATGTATTTAATATATATATATATGGTAGGTTAAAATGGATATTAAACAATCACTTTTTATTTACAAGTATGTGTAATTTATCAGATAGTTTTATAAATTTAATTTTCCTAAAATTCTTT